GTTACATGTGATCGGGGGGTTGGTTTTTTTATTTGTGGCTTGGAACCGGGGTAGTAGTGAGGTTGCGCAATTTGGGTTTTTCGTCTAGTTTAGTGGTGGGGAGAATTTTATTTTCTATTCTTAGTCCCAGTTGGTTCGGTGTTTGGGTGGGGATAGAAATAAATTTGTTTGGGGCTTTAACTTTGTTAGTAAATAATAAAAAACGTACGATTGATTCTAGATTTAAGTATTTTTTTGTACAATCTTTTGGGTCCAGAATTATAATTATAAGAATTGCTGTTGGTAGGTGGTCAAGGTTAGGGCCGTTAGTATCTGGTTTTAACTTAGGTTTAATGGTAAAGGTTGGGGCGGCCCCTTTTCATTTTTGGGTTGTAGAAGTGTTAGACAATATTTGATTGGAGAGGATGTGGTTTTTGCTGACTGTGCAGAAGGTGGTTCCTTTGTTTTCTATTTGTCACGGTTTTCATGATGGTTGAGTTATTTATGCTTGTAGGGGTGTTAGGGTGCTGGTGGGGGCTATTTGTGGGGTAGGTGCCACTCGGCTTTCCCGGTTTGTGGGGTACTCTTCTGTAGCTCACACCGGGTGAAGGTTAGCGTCTTGTTTGGGGGGGTTAGGTTTGTTGGTATACTATTTGTTTGCTTATTGGGTTTCCTTAGGGGGGTTACTGTCATTAATAAGAGGTGATGGGTATTTGTGTTCTGTAAGGGGTGGGAGTGTTCGCCGGTCTTCTTTTAGTGGCGGGATTTGTATTTTTTTATTGTCTTTAGGGGGGTTTCCTCCGTTTCTAGGGTTCTTTAGGAAGTTGGCCGTCCTTTTTTGCGTAGCGAGGACTTTCCCTCTGCTTATAATTCCTTTGGCATTGGGGTCTGTTATTGGTTGAGGTTATTATTTATTTGTAATAAGGTTTTGTGTTATTAGGGGAGGTAGAAGGGTGAAGCGGGATAAGAGGGATCGTTGGGGAGCCCCTTTTTTGTTGCTGAGACTTCCTTATCTGTTTTCCATGCACATCTTTTTCTAGTTATTTAGTGGGGGTGGATATTTTGTGGATAGTTTTATTGGTGGGTTTATTGTTAGTTGCAGTTATGGCAACACAAAGGTATTGGCTTACTCAGCTATGGGTTCGGGATTCAGAAAAAGCTTCTCCGTATGAGTGTGGATTTGATCCATTTGGTTCGGCACGGTGTCCGTTTTCTGTTCGTTTCTATATGGTTGCTATTTTGTTTTTGGTGTTTGAGGTAGAGTCTCTAATATTTTTTCCGGTGCTTCATGCTAAGAGGGTCGGGGTAGCTATAGTTGAGTTTTACAGGTGGTGTTTTTTGTTGGTCCTGGTTGTTGGGTTATTATACGAATTGTATCGAGGTTTCTTTTTTTTCAGTGTTACTCGGTTGCCTAGTGTTTGGCTACAGGGGAGCTGTGTGGTTAAGGCATTTTATTTTTCTATCATTTCTAGGGGGTTTAATGGTTGTGTTTCTCTATGCGGTTGCTTTAGCCCCGAACCCTCTGTTCAAGAGCATTGCCCAGAAAACCGTTCGTCCTATGGGTGTGGTTATGTTTATAATCAGGGTTTCTTGCCTAATTCTTTATTATGATGGATGGTGGTGTTATAAAGATGTTTTTTGTGGGGGGTATGTGGATGTGAGGGGATGTTTAGGGCCTGAGTTGAGGGATAGGAGTTGGGTAGGTAGTGTAAGTTTTCTATTTTTGGCTGTTTTATTGGCCATTTGTATAGTATCGGTAACTAAGCTTTGTTGATACAACAAAAGGGGAGCTCTTCGCGGCATTCGAAGTACTATAAAGTAAGATGGGGGTGGCAGAATAATGTGTTCGTTTTAAGCTCGAAAGATGGGTTATAAGGCCCCCCCCATTTTGTTGCCTTATTCTACAACAAGTTCTGGTCCGATTTATTCGGCTGTAAAGGGAGTAATTTACGATCTTCCGTGCCCTTCTAATTTAAGGGTTTGGTGGGGATTTGGGTCACTTCTGGGGGTTTGCCTTTTTGGGCAGATTCTAACTGGTTGGCTTTTGTCATTCTATTATACTGCTCATGAAGATTTAGCTTTTAGAAGCGTATGTTTTATTATAAAGGAAGCTCATATGGGGTGGGCAGTTCGGAGGTTCCATATTAATGTGGCAAACTTTATGTTTGTCTGTTTATACCTTCATATTGGCCGCGGGTTATATTATGGGTCTCATCGTTTATATAAGGTTTGGTGTAGGGGTATTGTGTTGTTGTTATTGGTAATACTAACAGCTTTTACCGGCTATGTTCTTCCCTGGAGGCAAATGGCTTATTGGGCCGCCCAGGTTATTAGAAGAATGGTAACTGCAATTCCTTTAGTTGGGGGAGATATCGCAATGTGAGTTTGGGGGGGATATGCAGTAGGGAATGTGACTCTTAAGCGCTTGTTTAGGCTCCATTTTTTGATGCCTTTTGTTATTATGGGTATTTTTTTCTTACATCTTATTTTCCTTCATTCAACTGGGTCGGGTAACCCTTTGGGGTTGGATAGAGACTGTTCATTAGTTCGATTCCATAGGTTTTTTACGGTGAAGGACTTGGTGGGGGTTTGTTTAAGCTGTACTGTAGTGGCATTTATAGTTGGGTTCTACCCATATAGGCTTTTAGATGGGGGGAGGTTTGTTCCTTGTGATTACATGGAAACTCCGGCTAGAATTCATCCTGAATGGTATTTTTTGTTTGCTTACGCAATTCTCCGATCGGTGCCTAATAAAGTTGGTGGGATTTTACTATTGCTTGCATCTATTTTCATTTTGTTTGTGTTGCCTGAAATTTGGTGTGGTAAAATGGAGTCATTTTGTTTTTATCCCGTGTGCCAGTTTTTGTTTTGGGCTTGGGTTGCTAATTTTTGCGTGTTAACATATGTAGGGAGGCAGGGTGTAGACGATCCTTTTGTTAGGGCGGGTAGGTGGGGTACTATTTTCTATTTTGGGTTTTTTCCTCTTGTAGGCCTAGTGCAGCGGTATGAAGACTATATTTGTTCATATGACCATGAGTGAGATGAGTTTGACGAGTACTGGGAAGAAATAGTTAAACAGTATCCGGATTTAGGGGTAAATGATGAAGATCATTGGCCGGATCCTAAATTAATGAGGGCGGGGGAAATGGTTGATTTGCTAAAGGTAGAGCCTTATAATTGAAAGGGGTTGGGAGGTCATTTACATAAGGTGGTAAAGGGTCCAACAAAGCCCCTTGATCCTTATTCGGGGACGTACCACGGGTGGTCGAGAGCTAGGTTAAAAATAAACTTCGGGTTTCCAAAACCTGGGATGGGGAAGCATTCTTCGCTCTTGGGTGTTTTAATCACGTTATGGTTGGGCTTAGTTGTTGAATGTTTTTATTGTCGGGGTGAGGTGTAAATCTGCACGCTAGACTTGGGTCCTAGAGGTCCTCTTAGGGGCTCCCCGCAAGACGGTTGGTTAGGTTGATGGTTGGATTCTATTCGGAGGCTTTTTGCTTAGTCGCATCTGCCTTTTGTTTTTTAGGGGCTTTGGGTCTATTGGGGGATTTTTTTGTCTTGGGTTTTGAGGTATTCCGCCACTCTTCTTTAGACCTTGGGGTCGAGATTTTTGTGGATGGGGTTGGGTTGTTATTTTCTAGGGTCGTTTTTTTTATTGCTAGCAATATTTTTAAATTTAGCGGGCATTATATAGCAAGGGCTTTCCACCCTTCTCGGTTCCACGCTTTGTTAATGTGTTTTGTTTTTTCTATAGTTATTTTTATTTTCTCTCCGGGGTTATTTAGTCTTATAATTGGGTGGGATGGGTTAGGGGTTTTTTCCTTCTTACTAGTTCTTTTTTATCCATGTCACAGGTCCTTAGGGTCTGGGATGATTACGGGCCTAAGAAATCGTTTAGGGGATTGTTTTTTGGTGTTAGCACTGCTGTTATGGGGTCTGGGGTTTGGAAGCGGGGGTTATGGGGCGCACGAGTTTGGCATTGTGGTTAGAGTTTTTTTAGTGGTGGGAGCCAGAACTAAAAGAGCCCAGTTTCCTTTTTGTAGCTGGCTTCCTCGGGCTATAGCAGCCCCGACTCCAGTTTCTTCTTTAGTACACTCATCTACCTTAGTTACAGCTGGAGTATTTTAGTTGTGCGGTATTGTAGGGGATTGGAGGGCGGAGCCTTAGTTTTGCTGCAATGGTGCTCATTAATTACAATGGTTTTGAGGGGCTTAAATGCCTGTGTGGAGTGTGATGCTAAAAAAGTTGTTGCTTTGTCGACCCTTTCACAGGTTTCTTTTATAATGTTCTCTGTTAGAATTGGGTACCCCTTGTTGGCATTTTTTCATTTGTTAACTCATGCTGTAACTAAGGCCCTTTTGTTTGTGTGTGTAGGTTTAGTTATTATAGGGTACAGGCAGGATTTGCGTCGGTTGGGTGGGTGTTTCTCGGAAGAAGGGGGTTTAAAATGGTATTTTTTAGGAAGGTGTGTGGGGTTGTGTGGGATCCCATTTTTAAGAGGGTTTTATTCTAAGGAGGTAATTATTGAGTCAATATTGCACAGGCCGCTTGGGTGGTTGGGGGTAGCTTTTTTTTTAGTTGGAGTTTTTTCAACTGGGTACTACAGAGCTCGGTTAGGATATTTTTGTTTTTTCAGCGGGCTCCGGGGAGATAAAATTGGGGGAGTGAGATCATATCGCTATAGGGGAGGTTTGAGCTTGCCATCGGCCCATTATTTTTGTTTCAATCTTTTTTGTTTTGTAGTTTTTTTGGGGGGGGTAGGGGGGTGATTCTTTAATTCAGGGGTTCCTTGCTACCCTTGCTGAGAAAGAAAAGTTATTTTGCTGAGGTGTCCTTGGTTTGTTATGTGATGGTTTTGGGCTAGGGAGGTGTTGACAGGGCTTTATTTTAACGAGAGTTGAGAGGAAAAAAATTTTAGTGTGCGTTATACAAATGACTATTTTAAACGGCCCATTTTGGAGGAAAGCTCAGATTGGTGGAGAAGCTTCCGCGGAAGTTTTATTCGCGAGTTGGGTTTTTTAGATGGATTAAGGGGTCAGCCTCTTGTTTATGCCGGATTTATATTGTCAGAAGAGGTGAGCTCTGGACTCGATCAGGGCTGGTTTGAATTTTTTGGGCCGGGGGGGGTTTATCTCGATGTTTTAAGAAAGCGCTAAACTGCAATATGTTTATGTGCAGTCATTGGTTTGCTTGTTTTTTCGTAGTATATATTTTAGAGGTGTGTTTATGGGTCGGCCTTTCTTAGTTGGTTCAGATATATGGAAAGTTTGATAGCAGGGTTAATGCCTGGCGGGTCCGTCAGATGTTAGATTGGGGTCAGATCTTAGGTTGGGGGAGGAAGATTAATGAGTGGGGCCGGCTTTCTAGCGAAGGTTGTAGGTTGGAGAGAAGCCAGATAAGATTGCCGGAGCCAGTTACTTTGCAGGGTTACAATTTAGAGATGGTATATGAGAGGTGCCTAATCATTGCTTTCTTTGTAAGGTTTACTGTTATTTTTTTCCTGCGGATAGCTTCTTTCAACAAGATTACATGTAGGGTTTATTTAGACTGTGGGCGGTTGGAGGTTTTCTGGTCTTTGGTGCCTTTTATTTTTTTAGTTTGCTTGTGCACTGTTTCCGTTTTTGCTCTGTATGTTAATGATGAGACAAATCTTGACCCCTTTATTGATGTAATCGTGGTGGGCCATCAGTGGTATTGAAGGTATGAGTTAACAAGTAGAAAGGCTGAAACTATTAAATGGGACTCACGAATAGTGAGGCGTAGTGCAGGGAGACCTCTTAGGTTCCGTGACTACTCCGAGGTTGACCGCCCGTTGGTAGTTCCACAGGGAAAGCCCATTCGGGTGTTTGTTACGAGGGATGACGTTCTTCACAGCTGGGGGTCTCCCCTTCTTTTGATGAAGATTGACGCTATTCCGGGTCGGCTAAGTCGGGGAAGTTTAGACTTTAATGTTTGCGGGGTGTTTTCTGGGTTCTGTGTTGAGTTATGCGGCGCATATCATGCTATAATGCCTACTATGATTGAAGTAGTTAGGCCAGAGGACTATAGGGAGTGGCGTGATTGGAGAGAAGGGGGTTGTGATCTAGGTGCTCGGCTGAAAGCGTTTGTTGAGTTAATTAACATTGCGGTTGAGGGGGAGTGTTTAAATCACAGATTAAGGCATAAAGATATAGTTAATGTGATTAAAGGGGATGTAACCCCTCTATTACGCTTACCCTCGATTCAAAAGAGGCTGAAATCTATGGGATTTGTTCACGTTGATGTAATGGAGAAGGTAATGGGGTCTACGATAAGATCTAAAAAGTTTGAGGAGCTTGTTTTAGAAATGGAGAAGGAGCAAGCTGGGCATGATTTGGGAGAACGGCTTTTAAGGCGTCGAGGTAGGTAGCTATAGTCGGCTGCCTTGGTTTAGACCAGGTAGTGCTTTTAAGGGGTTTTTAAGTTAAGAATATTAAGAAAATAAATGAAGAGCTCGCACCCGTATATATTTTATTATTAGGGGGTTGGGTTGAAAGGCCGGGTTTTCAATGGCCTGGTCTTGCTGCAGGGTTTAGTTCGCGTCAAGAATTCAAGTGCAGGCTTGTCGTTCAGGCTCACAAAGGAGATTGGGTTGGATCTAAGTGCAAGGTTGCTTAAGTCTGGGTGTTAGGAGGTTGGGTCAGATCTTCCTACAGGCCCTCTCCAGAGGGCCGCCTCTGCCCGTCGAGCCCCCCAAAAAAAGGGTTCCTCATACTTTTTTTTTTGTTTTTTTTTGAAAAGTAGGGGGGTCAAAACTTGTAGGGTAGAAAAGTTTAGGTAAACAGACGAGAAAGACGATTTTAGGGGTAAAAAAAAGCGACCGCAAAGGGAGTACCCTTTGCGTTTGGGTCGCTTTTTTGCAATATTTAGGTTACGAATATTAGGTATGTTTTTAGAGAGGTAAATAGGGTATGAGGAAATTTTCGGGCGATAGGGATTTGGAAGGGCCGCTAGGTTTAATACGTGTATTGTAAGTTAAAGTGGATAATTTTGTAAAAAGTAAAAAGTAAGCTATATTTATAGTTAGGTAAATAGGGTATGTTTTGGGCATATATTTGGAAGGGCCGGCTAGGTTTAATACGTGTATTGTAAGTTAAAGTGGATAATTTTGTAAAAAGTAAAAAGTAAGCTATATTTATAGTTAGGTTTTGGGTGTGTTTTGACCATATATTTAGCTTAATATATAAGGGGTGAGAAGTCCTAAAAGTAGTAGATTTGGGGCGGCTGGGTTTCAGCCTTGCAGGGGGTAAAGTTAAGGTATTAAGGTTAAAATAACGAAAAGAGGATTTAAATCGGTACCAAAGGGCCTAAATTTGAAACTGTAAAAGAGAAGGACCAAACCCGAGAGGGTTTGTTCCTTATCAACAGGGGGAGAGCCGCCTGGCCCTCTCCCCCTTAGAATTCCCCCCTCCCCCAAGGAGAAATCGGCCCCCTGGGCCCTCCCTCTTTCCGGCAGGGAAGGGAGCTCCGATCGTCCGTGCCTCGGGGAAGAGGTGGAGAAGGGGTCCCCGGGGCACAGTGAGGAGTCCCGTCTCGGTCCCGCCCCGGAGAGAGGGAGGTAGGGGGCGAGAGGTAGGGGGGGAGGGGGGTTAGGGGGGTGGGGGTAAAGTAAGGGTGGAGGGGGTCCGGTGGGAGAGAGGAAAAAAAAAAGAAAAAAGGAGGTCCGGGGGTCCTAGGGGGAGGAGGAATCCTCCTGGTCCCCCTAGGGCAGGGGTGGGGGGGGTGACAGGGGGGGGTAGGGGATGGAATCCCCTACCCCCCCCTACAGGGCTGGCCTGCGTAAGGTTTCCTCCTTTGTGCTCCGGCCCTCTGGAGAGGGCCGCCTCTGCCCGTCGAGCCCCCAAAAAAAGGGTTCCTCATACTTTTTTTTTTGTTTTTTTTTGAAAAGTAGGGGGGTCAAAACTTGTAGGGTAGAAAAGTTTAGGTAAACAGACGAGAAAGACGATGGGGTGTGGTATTTTGGGGGGTTTAAATGGGTAGGGTCTTTTGGAGGGTAGGTTGGTAAGGGGGGAAAGGAGGTTAGAGGGTACGACCATGTAAAAAATGGTGGGGGGGTAGTAAGTTAAGTTAAGGGGGGCAGGGGCTGAGGGTGTATTGAATTTTTTTACGAGTGGGGTAATTTTACTATTCTACAAAAGATACAGGGTAGGGGTTCTTAGAGGCCTAGTGAGTGGAAGAGTTGGATTTATGTGTAAGGAGATTGGAGATTACTGATTAGGTAAGGTGGTAGAAGGTTAGAGGAGTATGAAGTTTAGGAGGCGGGGTGGGACCTTGATGGCAAGTAGGTTTCGGCCCTTCTTGTGGGAGGAGTCAGACCTCCCCCTACCCTAGGTGTCGTATGTGGGTTTAAGAAGGTATTTTGGCCAATTTGATTGGAGGATAAGTTTAAGAAGATTTATTTCTTTTTTACTTCCTTTTGCAGTGTTGTTTATGATGAGTGATGATGTAGGCCTTTTTATATAAGTCCGGGGGGATTAGAAGTACTTATGATCTGGCTTGTTTTAAGAATTTCTAAGTTCTTTTGTATTCATGAGTGGGGTCAGAAGTGTGGAAGGGCTCATATTTTAACGTTTGTTTTTGTAGTAATTTTAAGAGTTAATCTTCTAGGGATGATTCCTTTTGTAAAGAGGGTTAGGTGTCTTCCGGTGTTTGTGATAAGGTACGGGTTACTGTTTTGGAGGGTAGGGAGGCTGTGGAGGGTTTGGGGTTTGAAGAAGTTTTCCCGGAGGGTTTGGGTAATGGGGGCTCCTCTCGGTTTAAACTTGTTTGTAGTGTTTGTAGAGTTGTTGAGCTGGGTTGTTCGTCCGGTTGTGTTAGGTGTTCGGTTAATAATTAATGTGTCTTGTGGGCATATTATTATGTCTTTAATAGGGGAGGTGTTGATGTTTTTTGTTTGGAATAACAGGCTTTTGGGGATTGTTTTTGTTGGGGCAGCTGGGTTTTGGGTTGGTGTATTAGAGTGGATTATTATGCTGGTGCAGACTTTAGTCTTTGTGGGTATTATTGCTTGGTCTTGGGGTGATTCTTATAAGGTTGCTTGTTCCCTATATATGCGGCGGTGGTGGTTACCTCGAGTTGGGGGACTTACTAAGAAAGGGTAGGGTAGTCAGAGTAGCATAAAGAGTGCGGCTGCTCTATGGGTAGCTGGTGGCTAAATTAGCCCTTTGGCTTAGGTGCCTCAGTTTGAACCGAGTAATTGGCTTTTGTGGTTTGCTTTAATTTTTATTGTTGGCTTTAGATATTTTCGGTTGTTATGGTGGGTTAATGTGCCTAGTACAGTTGTGGGTAAGGTAAGAAAGTTGAAGAGGTCTTCTTTTTTTAAATGGTAGGGTTATAGGGGTGTAGGGTGGTGTATTCGCGCATTTGGAGTTTTGGTCTCCGAGGAGGAAGTTTAGCTGCTTTTCCCTGCAGTATAATACGGTTAAAATGAGGGGTGCTGAGCCGGGCGTTAGCGGGCTACTTTGATGTGGTAGGTTTCAAGGGTTATAATCCCTTTAGCACTTTGTACAAAATAGAGGATGAAAATGGGCGGGTTGGCAGATCATGTGTCCGATTTAGGATCGGGAGAGGGGGCCCTGCTGAGGTCTCACCCGTTTTAAATTGGTAGGGTATTATAACGAGTATGCTGGGTTCATGCCCCCGCGGCGGAGGGTAGATAGATCCCCCCCCTACTTTGGGTCGGGGTAGTATAAGTAGTGCGGCCGTTTTTCGAGCGGTTAGTGGTTTTAACTGACCCCCCGATTATCAAGTTGGCGGTCTTGTGGGGTCGTTGAAGGAGCTCGTGGTGAGGAAGGTTAGTGTGTTTAAGTTGGAAGAGGGTTGAGGTTGGAGGAAGAGAGGTCTAGTTAGATTTGCTATGGTTTTTTGTTGTGGGTGTGAGGGATGGGGGGGGGTAGGAGCTGAGTTGGTGCTAGGGTTTGGATGTGAGGGTAAATTAGCCCTGTAGTTGAAATACAATAATGAGCTGCAGTCTCACAGGAAGGGGGAAACTCCTCAGGGCTTGGGTGGGTGGGTGCAGCCTATCGGGCTAGAAGGTTTGAACCTTTCTTTGTGGGGGGGTGGAGTCCTCCATGCACTTGGGTTTAGAGCAGGGTGGCCGAGTTTAGGTGGTGGGCTGTAAACCTATTTACGGGAATATAATTCTCTCCTGCTACGTAGTAGGTCCGCTTTTAGTTTATGTAGAACGTCGGTCTTGTAAGTCGAAGGGGTTGGTTTATTCCTGCAAGGCGGTGGTTAGGGTTTTTGGAGGGGGAGTCGTCTCTAGTGTAAAAAGCACGCGCTCCTTCCAAGTGTGAAGTCTTCTTAATTGGAGGAGGCGATTTGGGCGAAGGAGGGATTGGTAGTTTGGTTCTGGTTACCCTTGCTTAGCTATTAATTTGGTCAATTAACACATGGTAGTTTATGCAGTGAATGCGTATACCGGTCCTTCTTCGTTAATTAGTGTTTTTTGCTTTTTTCTGGAGGAGTTTACGTTTGAACAATCAGAGGAATTCGAGGACTGTTAATAATTTATTTCATACCTCCAGTGGATAGATTTTAACCATGAGCGCCAGCTTGATTAAGCTATTGTTGATTAGAGGAGTCCAACCAGGTGCCAGCAGTCGCGGTTAGACCTGAGTAACTCAAGTTAAGCGGTAAAGTGCAAAAGGTGGTTAGACGGCCTGCTCCATTGTGGAGAGTTATTATTAAAAATTAGGGAGCCTACCCCGAGGGGAAGGGGTGTAATCCAGGTCTCCCTCGGAGGAAGGGGGGAATGTTTCCTTTGGGCTGAGGCCACGGAACCGGGAAGCCGAAGACATGGATTTGAGACCCATTTATTACCGACGCAAACTTTGCTTTTCAGGCAGCTGCTTGGGGACTACGAGCGTGTGCTTAAAACTCAAAGAACTTGGCGGCTTGTTAACTACCTAGGGGAATATGTGCCTTAATCCGATGATCCCCGTCGCATCTTACTAGGCCTTGAAAAAGTGCAGCTGGTGTATTGCCGTTGTCAGCTTGTTGTTCGAGCAAGGAGTAACAGGCTCAATGGAGCCGTAGCGATTATATCGTTGGTGTCCGTGAATTCAGGTCGTAATACCGCCCACGGCCTAAGGGAGTAGGTGTTACAATTTAGATTTAAAATACGGATCTTTATTTTGAAACATTAGGGTGAAGGTGAACTTAGGAGTAAGGGGGAATTAATATGTTTCCCTGAACGTGAATCTGGCTTGTGTACAAACTGCCCGTCGCTCTCGCCGAGAGGTGAGATAAGTCGTAACAAGGTAGGGGTACTGGAAGGTGCGCCCTGATTAAGAATTAAAAGTGCTGATTTATGGGAAAATGTTTGGGTTGGGATAGCTTTTGCTGAATAGTTGATAGGCTAGTTGTAGGTTTGAGTGAATCATCTTTAATTGTCTTAGTAGGGGTGACTGAAATAGATGAGGTTTAAGCGATAGAATAGGTGTAACGTGAGTGAATGAACAGGTTAACAGGCAGGTACCAGTGATGGGATCATGTACCTTTTGCATCATGGCCTTATTACTTTTTATTCTTAGGGAATAGCCCGAAAATTCTGCGATCTACTTTCTCGCTAGGGGTTGGTGTAAGATAGCTATCCGGAGACGGGAAGATAGTGGCGAAATACTTTTCGCGCGGGTTGATAGCTGGTTGCTCTAGAAATACATATAAGTGTAGCTCTATGGAGGACGTACTTTAAGGACAAGGGTTTTCTAGGAAGCTAAATGGGAAATATCAGTTTGGTGGAGTTGAAGTGAAGCGTTTTTAAAAGAAGTGAGGTTTTTCAGGATAAGCTGAGAGACCTAGTGTAAAAGGAAGTTATTGAAGAGTGGGGGTTTAAGTGGGCTTGAAGAAGCTATCTTTTTGGAGTGGGTTAAGCCTCAGAGTTTCCCTAGATTAAAATAGAAATTTTAATTTCCTTTTTTGTTTATGGGGTCTTTTTACTGGACAGGTGTAGTAAAAGTGATAATGTAGGGATGAGTAGTCGGAGTGATGTAGTTGTTTTTAATTCAGGAAGTAAAGTAGTGTGTAATAGCAACTATATTGGCAAACAAAGCTAAAGGAACTCGGCAAAAAAAGGGACCGCCTGTTTAACAAAAACATGGCTTTCTGATTAACATGGGGGGTCGTGCCTTCCCGGTGAGCTTTCGGGCTTAAACGGACGCGGTAAATCGTGCTAAGGTAGCTAAATTATGGCCTATTAATTGTAGGTCCTGTGAATGGTTTGACGAGTCTTTAACTGTCTCTAGTTTGTTTTGGTGAAATTGAATTGGATGTGCAAATGCTTCCATAGGTGAGAAAGACGAGAAGACCCCGTGAAGTTAGAAATTTAAGTTGTAAGCGTTATTCCCCTTAGTTTTTACTGTTTTTTAGAATAACAGGTTAATTTAAGTTTTAATGTTAATTCAAGTAGAGGGATGCAGCGGCAGTTTTGGCTGGGGCAGCAAAGGAGCAAGACTAGACTCCTATTATTTAAAGTGCGGGTGCGCTACGACCCACAGAGGTATGTATTTGTGATTAGCAGAAGAAGTTACTCCGGGGATAACAGCGTTATCCGTCCTGATAGTTCTTATAGATGGGCGGGTTTGCGACCTCGATGTTGGCTCTGGGTATCCTAAGGCTTGCAGGTGGTCTTAAGGGTTGGTTCGTTCGCCCATGAAAACCCGACGTGAGCTGAGTTCAGATCGGCGAAAGTTAGGTCGGTTTCTATCTTCTTTCTATTGAGTTTAGGCTTTAGGGTACGAAAGGACATTTAGCTTTAGGTTCAGTCTACTTAGGTTGAAGTTAAAATAAGAGGGATTTAAAAAGAAGGTTGGTAAAGTGGGGCGTTGGGGGGGATTAGTTTTTAGGGATTTGATAGTGGAGGTGTGCGGGGTTTAGTTTATTTGTATGGGGGTTTTTAAGGTTGAGGGTAAATTAATTCTAAAATTAGTATTGAATGGAGGGGTTGGAGTTATGTGTTAGTAGAGGGTTTGTTAAGGATAGTGGGGGAGTTTAGGAAATGGTTGCTAAGTTTGCTGGGTTGGTAGCTTAAGTTAGGGCGCTGGACTTTTAATCTAGAGGTGAGGTATAAAACAGCCCTCTCAACCCTAATTTTAGGTACTTTAAATGTGGTAGGTTTGGGTAGCGATCTTGTGGGGTTTGGAATACACATGAGTTAAAGGAGAAAAGGGAGGGATATTAGTCTAAGAAGGGCGCCCCGCTGTTAACGGGGAAGTGGTTAAAGTTGAACTATGTCTCTGAGGGTGAAGGTTCCTTGGGTAGTTTAAAGAAAACGAAGTTTTGAAGCGGCTAAGTTGGCTTGAGGGGCCCCCGAGGGGTTGTTAGGTTAGGCCAGGCTAGTATAGTTAGTGCGAGCGGCTTACATCCGCTAGGAGGTCTAAGATTGGCCGCTTGGTTGAGTGGTAGTAGTTTTTTGGTCAGTTAGTTTTTATGCTTTGGTGTTATTGAGAGTAGCTTACCTGACTTTGTTTGAGCGTAAGATTTTAGCTGCTTCTCAAGGGCGTAAGGGCCCCGAGATGGTTGGGTGGTTTGGAATTCTTCAGCCTTTTGCTGATGGAATTAAGCTCTTTAGCAAAGAGTACTTTACACCGCGTGTTTCCAATCCAATTTTGTTTTTTCTAGGTCCGTGTTTTATGTTGTTTCATTCTTTTGTTTTATGGAGGTGTAGTTCTGGGATTTGGGGGTGTGGAATTTATTTTTTTTTGGGGGGGGTTGTATGTTTTAAGTGTATTGAGAGTGGGGGTATACGGGGTGGTTTTGTGTGGTTGGTCGTCTAACTCAAAATATGCTATGTTTGGTGCTGTGCGGGCTTTAGCTCAAGTGATTTCTTATGAAGTGATGTTAGTTTTTTTGTATTTAGGCCCCTTTTTTATGTGCGGGAGACTTGATTTTGTGGATGTTGATAGGTTTCAGGCTCGGGGCTCTAATGGGGGAATTTTGTTTTTGGCTTTTCCTTGGTGGGTTTTTTGTGTTTTAGCAGAGAGTAATCGGGCTCCTTTTGATTTCGTAGAGGGAGAGTCGGAGCTGGTTTCGGGGTTTAACGTGGAGTACGGAAGGGGGGGTTTTGCGATAATTTTCATTGCTGAGTATGCAAGTGTTATTTTTCTAAGTAGCCTGACAGGGGTTCTATTTTTAGGGGGAGGTAATATTTTAGGGGGAATAGGTGGGTTAGGATTCTTGGGGGGGGGTTTGATGAGGTCTCTTATGAGATTTTTGGTAGTTTTATTGATTGTTTTGTGTCGGAGTAGATTTCCCCGGTACCGATATGATTTATTAATGGGGTTTGTGTGGCGGCGGGTTTTGCCTGTTTTAATAGGTGCTTTTGCTTTATTTATTATTTTGGTTTAGAAGGGATATATTGGGTTGGGATAACTTTTGCTGAATAGTTGATAGGTTAGTTGTAGGGTTGAGTGAATCATCTTTAATTGTCTTAGTAGGGGTGACTGAAACAGACAGGGTTTGAGCGATAGAATAAGTGTAACGTGAGTGAATGAACAGATTAACAGGTAGGTACCAGTGATGGGATCATGTACCTTTTGCATCATGGCCTTATTACTTTTTATTCTTAGGGAATAGCCCGAAAATTCTGCGATCTACTTTCTCGCTAGGGGTTGGCGTAAGATAGCTATCCGGAGACGGGAAGATAGTGGCGAAATACTTTTCGCGCGGGTTGATAGCTGGTTGCCCTAGAAATACATATAAGTGTAGCTCTATGGAGAACGTACTTTAAGGATAAGGGTTTTCTAGGAAGCTAAATAAGAGATATCAGTTTAGTGGAGTTGAAGTGAAGCGTTTTTAAAAGAAGTGAGGTTTTTCAGGATAAGCTGAGAGACCTAGTGTAAAAGGAAGTTATTGAAGAGTGGGGGTTTAAGTGGGCTTGAAGAAGCTATCTTTTTGGAGTGGGTTAAGCCTCAGAGTTTCCCTGGATTAAAATAGAAGTTTTAATTCCTTTTTTGTTTATGGGTCTTTTTACTGGACAGGTGTAGTAAAAGTGATAATGTAGGGATGAGTAGTCGGAGTGATGTAGTTGTTTTTAATCCAGGAAGTAAAGCAGTGTTGAATAGCAACTATATTGGTAAACAAAGCTAAAGGAACTCGGCAAAAAAAGGGACCGCCTGTTTAACAAAAACATGGCTTTCTGATTAACATGGGGGGTCGTGCCTTCCCGGTGAGCTTTCGGGCTTAAACGGACGCGGTAAATCGTGCTAAGGTAGCTAAATTATGGCCTATTAATTGTAGGTCCTGTGAATGGTCTGACGAGTCTTTAACTGTCTCTAGTTTGTTTTGGTGAAATTGAATTGGATGTGCAAATGCTTCCATAGGTGAGAAAGACGAGAAGACCCCGTGAAGTTAGAAATTTAAGTTGTAAGCGTTATTCCCCTTAGTTTTTACTGTTTTTTAGAATAACAGGTTAATTTAAGTTTTCATGTTAATTCAAGTAGAGGGATGCAGCGGCAGTTTTGGCTGGGGCAGCAAAGGAGCAAGACTAGACTCCTATTATTTAAAGTGCGGGTGCGCTACGACCCACAGAGGTATGCATTTGTGATTAGCAGAAGAAGTTACTCCGGGGATAACAGCGTTATCCGCCCTGATAGTTCTTATAGATGGGCGGGTTTGCGACCTCGATGTTGGCTCTGGGTATCCTAAGGCTTGCAGGCGGTCTTAAGGGTTGGTTCGTTCGCCCATGAAAACCCGACGTGAGCTGAGTTCAGATCGGCGAAAGTTAGGTCGGTTTCTATCTTCTTTCTACTGAGTTTAGGCTTTAGGGTACGAAAGGACATTTAGCTTTAGGTTTCAGTCTATTAAGGTTGTAGTTAAAATAAAATAAATTTGAGTTTAGTTTGGGTGAAGTGAAGCGTTGGGGTCGTTGACTTATGGCCAACTCCCATAAGGATGTGGGGACTATATATCTTATTTTGGGGATGTGGTCTGGTTTTGGGGGTTTGAGTCTCAGATGGATTATGCGATTAGAGCTGGGTCGTCCTGGCATATGGCTGCCAAGATCAGAGGTGTATAATGGTGTGGTTACTTTACATGCTATTATGATGATTTTCTTCTTTGTTATGCCTGTATTAATTGGGGGCTTTGGTAATTGGTTGTTACCATTGTTGTTAGGGGCTATTGATATGAGATTTCCCCGGGTTAACACTTTGAGTTTCTGGATTTTACCATTTGCTTTGTATATAGTAATTCTGTCTTTTAATATTGATTATGGGAGAGGAACTGGTTGGACTATATATCCTCCTTTGTCTAGAACCCCTTATTCTAGGGGGGTGAGAACAGATATAATGATTTTGGCGTTGCATTTGGCGGGGGTTAGATCTTCTGCTGCTTCTATTAATTATTTAGTAACTTTTTTAAATGTGCGAGGAAAGGCGTACAAGGCTGAGTTTTGTCCTCCGTTTGTGTGGGCTCTGTCTGTTACTAGGTTCTTGCTTTTGGTATCTTTACCGGTTTTAGCGGGTGGGTTGACTATGTTGATTATGGACCGTCATTTTAACTGTAGGTTCTTTGATCCTTCAGGTGGGGGGGACCCGGTTTTATTCCAGCATTTATTCTGGTTCTTTGGGCATCCAGAGGTATATGTTTTAATTTTACCTGGTTTTGGGTTAGTTTCTCATGTTTTGGTGTTTTACACTAAGAAGTTACGGGTCTTTGGTTCAGTTGCTATGATGTATGCTATAATTTCTATCGGGATTTTAGGTTTTATTGTTTGGGGGCATCACATGTATACTGTCGGGCTTGATGTTGATACCCGGTTTTATTTTACTGCGGTAACTATGTTAATTGCGGTACCTACAGGGGTTAAAGTTTTTAGTTGGATTGCTACAATTTACGGGTCTTATCTGAGTTTTGAGGCCCCTACTTTGTGGGTTATTGGATTTTTACTGAAGTTTACTATGGGGGGAATTACAGGTGTGATTTTGTCTAATGCATCGTTGGACGTGGCTTTGCATGATACTTATTATGTTGTCGCTCATTTCCACTATGTGTTGTCGATAGGGGCTGTGTTTACTATTTTTGGGGGATATGTTCATTATTTCCCTTTCTTTACAGGAAATTGTTTCCATCGGAGGTGGGCTCGTGGTCACTTTTTCCTAACTTTTGTTGGGGTTAACCTAACTTTCTTCCCGCAGCACTTTTTGGGGTTAGGGGGAATGCCCCGACGAATTCCAGATTATCCTATTTTCTATTATTACTGGAATCAGTGGAGAACAGCAGGTTGTGGGATGGTGATGTGTAGGGTGTCTTTGTTTACTCATATTCAGTGGGAAGCTTTTTTGAGGGGCCGTCGTCCTTCAATAGTAGGAAATCGTCCAAGGTCTCTTGAATGGGTGGCTTTGCGTAATTTCTCTTGTATTGCTCGGCATACTTTTGTTGAGGTGATTGCTGTTCGGTTGATGCATGAGGTAACTATGCGACATAAGGATATTCTTGAGAAGGTGGAGTTGGGGAACATTAATTATACCGCTATTAAAGGGCCTAGGCGTAGAGGTGCTAAGTAGGGGGTTGGGGTGATTTTGTAGGTGTTAAATCTTGATTGTGCCCTTGGTGGGGGTAGAAGAGGCGGAGAGTTGCCTTAGCTTTGACTTCTAATCTGTAGCTAGGGAGGGTAGCGACCTTCCTTCCGCTGGTAAGATGTTGGCAGTTTTATTGGGGTTGCTTCCTAGGTTTGGGGAGGTGGGTTGTTGGCAGTTTTTTACCCTATGTTTTTTAAGAAGGCCCATTATTTTATATCGGGGTTCCTTGGAAGGTTATGTGATAGGGGATTTTTTTATTCTAGATGATTGGTCTAGGTCTTTAGTTTTTCTGTGTTTTTGGTTGGGGGCTTTGATAATAATTATTTCTAAGCCCGAGTTAAGGGGGTTGTGTGTATGGGGGGTAGTTTTTTGTTGTTTTCTAGCCTTCTCTTGTTGGAATTTTCTTTGATTCTATGTGTTTTTTGAGTTAACTTTAGTTCCTATGGCTATTATAATTCTTAAGTGAGGCATACAGCCGGAGCGAATTACTGCAACATTTTATATATTTCTCTACACTCTAGGAGGTTCAATTCCGTTTCTTGTCTTTCTTGTGTTTGTTTTTTGGGGGGAGTCTTCTTTTTTTATGGGTTTTAATGCGGATTTGTTGGGGGGATTGGGTTGGTGGGGGTGCTGTGCTGTGGTTGTTTTTTTCGTTAAAATTCCTTGCTATCCATTCCATCTTTGGTTGACTAAGGCTCACGTAGAGGCTCCGACAACGGGGTCTATAGCTTTGGCGGGTTTGTTGTTAAAGTTAGGGGGAATTGGATTAATGCGTGTTTTTTTAAGGTACGGTCAGTTGTCTTATTCAGTTCAGGTCTTTTGGGCCAATGTAGGGATTTGGGGGGGTGTGTTGAGGTCCGTAGCTTGTCTCCGTCAAGTTGATAGGAAGGCCCTTATCGCTTATTCTTCGGTAGGGCACATGTGTTTGGTTCAGCTTAGTATTCTAAGCGGAAGGAGGGTTGGTTGGTTAGGTGCTCTTTTTATAATAGTGGCTCATGGGCTAAGTTCGTCAGGCCTCTTTGGGATTATTGGAGAGTACTACGATAAGGTTAAGAGCCGAAGTTTGATGGTTTGTTCGGGGTTTGAGATGTTATTTCCGAGGTCTGGGATTTGGTGGTGTATAGTAGTATTTTGTTCAATAAGGTGTCCTCCCAGATTAGGGTTTTTAGGGGAGGTAGTTATGGGGATGGGGGTCTGTGGGTCTTTCCCTTTAGGTTTTATCCCTTGTTTTCTCCTTCTATTCTTTTTTAGGGGTGCTAGAATGATGGTTTTATATACGAGGGTAAGTCATGGGAGTTCAGGGTCTTCGCTTTTACCATCTTTTTGCGGAGTGGGTAAGTTTAGGTACCTAGGGGTTTTCCATGCTGCTCCATTATTCTTTCTTTTTTTCTTTCCTGGGTTTTTGTAGGAATAGGCTTCTGTGGTGTAGTTGGCACAAAAGGTTGTGGTCCTTTAGGCGGGTCTGAGACTCTGGGGGTCCGCTTAGGTGAGTGTTTTAGAAACTAAGGTTAGTAGTTGGGGGATGGTGAAAATATCACGGGCGGTTGTCACTCGTCAGTTGCGTTTAAAGTAGCGTTCTTCCATAGATGGCGTATATGGGTAATTATGATAGTGTAGGTGTTTTAGGTGGGGTAGGGGTTACGGGAGTTTTTTCTTGTACTTTCTTTATTGGTGGGTGGTTGGCTTTTGGATGCCAACGGACCCATATCCTGTCTGCGCTTTTGTGTATAGAGGTGGTTTTGGTAGGGGTTTTAGGGGGTTTCTGTAGAAGCTTGGAGTTAAATCCGGGGTATTTTTTTTTCTTTGTAGTAGGGTTAGGGGTGTGTGAGTCTGCGTTGGGGCTATCATTGCTTGTAATCTATGCCCGCAGATACGGCAACGATTTATTTAAGGGGTTGGATGGGCAAGGGTGTTAGTTGAGTGAAGCGTTGTCCTTTTCATCGGGTAGACCCGAGTCCTTGGCCGCTGTTAACTGCTTGAAGGTTAGGGTTTACAGCAATAATGTTTGCTCAATTTCTTCATGGGGATCCCATTTGGCGTGTGTTAGTGGGCTTGTGTTTGTTAGTAAGGTCTGTGTATTGGTGGTTTGTAGATATTGTCACAGAAGCGACGTTTTTAGGAAAGCACACTCGTCGCGTGCAGCGGGGGGTTCGAATTGGATTTTGTATATTTTTAGTTAGAGAGACCATGTTCTTTGCTTCCTTTTTTTGGGCGTTTTTTCATAGTGCATTGGCTCCGGGGATGGCCTTGGGGTTTTTTTGGCCCCCTCAAATTTATACAATGTCTTGTTGGGGTTTGCCATTGCTCAACACTAGTCTTCTTCTCAGAACTGTGTGTCCGTGCAATTTAGCCCAGGCAGCTTTGAAGGCTGCGGAGCTTAAAACTGCTCTAATTACTTTGGGGATTGTAATGATTCTAGGGGCATGTTTTGTCGTTTGTCAAGGCTATGAGATCTATACGGCTAAGTTTACTATTGCTGATGGGATTTATGGGAGCTGTTTTTTTTCTTTAACAGGGTTGCATGGGTTACATGTGATCGGGGGGTTGGTTTTTTTATTTGTGGCTTGGAACCGGGCTCGTTTAGGACACTTTTCTAGTGCTCGACATTTAAACCTAACTTTTGCTGTTTGGTACTGGCATTTTGTTGATGTAATTTGGATCTTTGTTTACAGGGCAGCTTATTTGTGGAGAAACCTAGGATGGCAGTGGACCTTCGATGATGCGTTTAACAAGGTCAATTGGGCTCTGGGGTATTTGATGGGGTAGTAGTGAGGTTGCGCAATTTGGGTTTTTCGTCTAGTTTAGTGGTGGGGAGAATTTTATTTTCTATTCTTAGTCCCAGTTGGTTCGGTGTTTGGGTGGGGATAGAAATAAATTTGTTTGGGGCTTTAACTTTGTTAGTAAATAATAAAAAACGTACGATTGATTCTAGATTTAAGTATTTTTGTACAATCTTTTGGGTCCAGAATTATAATTATAAGAATTGCTGTTGGTAGGTGGTCAAGGTTAGGGCCGTTAGTATCTGGTTTTAACTTAGGTTTAATGGTAAAGGTTGGGGCGGCCCCTTTTCATTTTTGGGTTGTAGAAGTGTTAGACAATATTTGATTGGAGAGGATGTGGTTTTTGCTGACTGTGCAGAAGGTGGTTCCTTTGTTTTCTATTTGTCACGGTTTTCATGATGGTTGAGTTATTTATGCTTGTAGGGGTGTTAGGGTGCTGGTGGGGGCTATTTGTGGGGTAGGTGCCACTCGGCTTTCCCGGTTTGTGGGGTACTCTTCTGTAGCTCACACCGGGTGAAGGTTAGCGTCTTGTTTGGGGGGGTTAGGTTTGTTGGTATACTATTTGTTTGCTTATTGGGTTTCCTTAGGGGGGTTACTGTCATTAATAAGAGGTGATGGGTATTTGTGTTCTGTAAGGGGTGGGAGTGTTCGCCGGTCTTCTTTTAGTGGCGGGATTTGTATTTTTTTATTGTCTTTAGGGGGGTTTCCTCCGTTTCTAGGGTTCTTTAGGAAGTTGGCCGTCCTTTTTTGCGTAGCGAGGACTTTCCCTCTGCTTATAATTCCTTTGGCATTGGGGTCTGTTATTGGTTGAGGTTATTATTTATTTGTAATAAGGTTTTGTGTTATTAGGGGAGGTAGAAGGGTGAAGCGGGATAAGAGGGATCGTTGGGGAGCCCCTTTTTTGTTGCTGAGACTTCCTTATCTGTTTTCCATGCACATCTTTTTCTAGTTATTTAGTGGGGGTGGATATTTTGTGGATAGTTTTATTGGTGGGTTTATTGTTAGTTGCAGTTATGGCAACACAAAGGTATTGGCTTACTCAGCTATGGGTTCGGGATTCAGAAAAAGCTTCTCCGTATGAGTGTGGATTTGATCCATTTGGTTCGGCACGGTGTCCGTTTTCTGTTCGTTTCTATATGGTTGCTATTTTGTTTTTGTGTTAGGTAGAGTCTCTAATATTTTTTCCGGTGCTTCATGCTAAGAGGGTCGGGGTAGCTATAGTTGAGTTTTACAGGTGGTGTTTTTTGTTGGTCCTGGTTGTTGGGTTATTATACGAATTGTATCGAGGTGCTTTAGAGTGGGCTCGGGATTAAAAGGCTTTGGGGTGGGGCGTGCTCCTTAGTGTAAAGAACATTCCTGATTTGCATTCAGGGGATGGGGGTAGCTCTCCAGGAGCAGGTGGTTGAAATACGAGGCGGTGTTAGTGCACATGGATTAAGGTCTAAAGTAAAGCTTAGTTATTCCTCGTAAAAGTGAAGGTTTGGTATTTTTTGTGGATTTTAGTTATATTTTTTTTGGTTGGGTGCGGTTCTTTAGTTGGGCCTCAGGCTGTAGGGTGCTTTTCTTTTTTTTCAGTGTTACTCGGTTGCCTAGTGTTTGGCTACAGGGGAGCTGTGTGGTTAAGGCATTTTATTTTTCTATCATTTCTAGGGGGTTTAATGGTTGTGTTTCTCTATGCGGTTGCTTTAGCCCCGAACCCTCTGTTCAAGAGCATTGCCCAGAAAACCGTTCGTCCTATGGGTGTGGTTATGTTTATAATCAGGGTTTCTTGCCTAATTCTTTATTATGATGGATGGTGGTGTTATAAAGATGTTTTTTGTGGGGGGTATGTGGATGTGAGGGGATGTTTAGGGCCTGAGTTGAGGGATAGGAGTTGGGTAGGTAGTGTAAGTTTTCTATTTTTGGCTGTTTTATTGGCCATTTGTATAGTATCGGTAACTAAGCTTTGTTGATACAACAAAAGGGGAGCTCTTCGCGGCATTCGAAGTACTATAAAGTAAGATGGGGGTGGCAGAATAATGTGTTCGTTTTAAGCTCGAAAGATGGGTTATAAGGCCCCCCCCATTTTGTTGCCTTATTCTACAACAAGTTCTGGTCCGATTTATTCGGCTGTAAAGGGAGTAATTTACGATCTTCCGTGCCCTTCTAATTTAAGGGTTTGGTGGGGATTTGGGTCACTTCTGGGGGTTTGCCTTTTTGGGCAGATTCTAACTGGTTGGCTTTTGTCATTCTATTATACTGCTCATGAAGATTTAGCTTTTAGAAGCGTATGTTTTATTATAAAGGAAGCTCATATGGGGTGGGCAGTTCGGAGGTTCCATATTAATGTGGCAAACTTTATGTTTGTCTGTTTATACCTTCATATTGGCCGCGGGTTATATTATGGGTCTCATCGTTTATATAAGGTTTGGTGTAGGGGTATTGTGTTGTTGTTATTGGTAATACTAACAGCTTTTACCGGCTATGTTCTTCCCTGGAGGCAAATGGCTTATTGGGCCGCCCAGGTTATTAGAAGAATGGTAACTGCAATTCCTTTAGTTGGGGGAGATATCGCAATGTGAGTTTGGGGGGGATATGCAGTAGGGAATGTGACTCTTAAGCGCTTGTTTAGGCTCCATTTTTTGATGCCTTTTGTTATTATGGGTATTTTTTTCTTACATCTTATTTTCCTTCATTCAACTGGGTCGGGTAACCCTTTGGGGTTGGATAGAGACTGTTCATTAGTTCGATTCCATAGGTTTTTTACGGTGAAGGACTTGGTGGGGGTTTGTTTAAGCTGTACTGTAGTGGCATTTATAGTTGGGTTCTACCCATATAGGCTTTTAGATGGGGGGAGGTTTGTTCCTTGTGATTACATGGAAACTCCGGCTAGAATTCATCCTGAATGGTATTTTTTGTTTGCTTACGCAATTCTCCGATCGGTGCCTAATAAAGTTGGTGGGATTTTACTATTGCTTGCATCTATTTTCATTTTGTTTGTGTTGCCTGAAATTTGGTGTGGTAAAATGGAGTCATTTTGTTTTTATCCCGTGTGCCAGTTTTTGTTTTGGGCTTGGGTTGCTAATTTTTGCGTGTTAACATATGTAGGGAGGCAGGGTGTAGACGATCCTTTTGTTAGGGCGGGTAGGTGGGGTACTATTTTCTATTTTGGGTTTTTTCCTCTTGTAGGCCTAGTGCAGCGGTATGAAGACTATATTTGTTCATATGACCATGAGTGAGATGAGTTTGACGAGTACTGGGAAGAAATAGTTAAACAGTATCCGGATTTAGGGGTAAATGATGAAGATCATTGGCCGGATCCTAAATTAATGAGGGCGGGGGAAATGGTTGATTTGCTAAAGGTAGAGCCTTATAATTGAAAGGGGTTGGGAGGTCATTTACATAAGGTGGTAAAGGGTCCAACAAAGCCCCTTGATCCTTATTCGGGGACGTACCACGGGTGGTCGAGAGCTAGGTTAAAAATAAACTTCGGGTTTCCAAAACCTGGGATGGGGAAGCATTCTTCGCTCTTGGGTGTTTTAATCACGTTATGGTTGGGCTTAGTTGTTGAATGTTTTTATTGTCGGGGTGAGGTGTAAATCTGCACGCTAGACTTGGGTCCTAGAGGTCCTCTTAGGGGCTCCCCGCAAGACGGTTGGTTAGGTTGATGGTTGGATTCTATTCGGAGGCTTTTTGCTTAGTCGCATCTGCCTTTTGTTTTTTAGGGGCTTTGGGTCTATTGGGGGATTTTTTTGTCTTGGGTTTTGAGGTATTCCGCCACTCTTCTTTAGACCTTGGGGTCGAGATTTTTGTGGATGGGGTTGGGTTGTTATTTTCTAGGGTCGTTTTTTTTATTGCTAGCAATATTTTTAAATTTAGCGGGCATTATATAGCAAGGGCTTTCCACCCTTCTCGGTTCCACGCTTTGTTAATGTGTTTTGTTTTTTCTATAGTTATTTTTATTTTCTCTCCGGGGTTATTTAGTCTTATAATTGGGTGGGATGGGTTAGGGGTTTTTTCCTTCTTACTAGTTCTTTTTTATCCATGTCACAGGTCCTTAGGGTCTGGGATGATTACGGGCCTAAGAAATCGTTTAGGGGATTGTTTTTTGGTGTTAGCACTGCTGTTATGGGGTCTGGGGTTTGGAAGCGGGGGTTATGGGGCGCACGAGTTTGGCATTGTGGTTAGAGTTTTTTTAGTGGTGGGAGCCAGAACTAAAAGAGCCCAGTTTCCTTTTTGTAGCTGGCTTCCTCGGGCTATAGCAGCCCCGACTCCAGTTTCTTCTTTAGTACACTCATCTACCTTAGTTACAGCTGGAGTATTTTTAGTTGTGCGGTATTGTAGGGGATTGGAGGGCGGAGCCTTAGTTTTGCTGCAATGGTGCTCATTAATTACAATGGTTTTGAGGGGCTTAAATGCCTGTGTGGAGTGTGATGCTAAAAAAGTTGTTGCTTTGTCGACCCTTTCACAGGTTTCTTTTATAATGTTCTCTGTTAGAATTGGGTACCCCTTGTTGGCATTTTTTCATTTGTTAACTCATGCTGTAACTAAGGCCCTTTTGTTTGTGTGTGTAGGTTTAGTTATTATAGGGTACAGGCAGGATTTGCGTCGGTTGGGTGGGTGTTTCTCGGAAGAAGGGGGTTTAAAATGGTATTTTTTAGGAAGGTGTGTGGGGTTGTGTGGGATCCCATTTTTAAGAGGGTTTTATTCTAAGGAGGTAATTATTGAGTCAATATTGCACAGGCCGCTTGGGTGGTTGGGGGTAGCTTTTTTTTTAGTTGGAGTTTTTTCAACTGGGTACTACAGAGCTCGGTTAGGATATTTTTGTTTTTTCAGCGGGCTCCGGGGAGATAAAATTGGGGGAGTGAGATCATATCGCTATAGGGGAGGTTTGAGCTTGCCATCGGCCCATTATTTTTGTTTCAATCTTTTTTGTTTTGTAGTTTTTTTGGGGGGGGGTAGGGGGGTGATTCTTTAATTCAGGGGTTCCTTGCTACCCTTGCTGAGAAAGAAAAGTTATTTTGCTGAGGTGTCCTTGGTTTGTTATGTGATGGTTTTGGGCTAGGGAGGTGTTGACAGGGCTTTATTTTAACGAGAGTTGAGAGGAAAAAAATTTTAGTGTGCGTTATACAAATGACTATTTTAAACGGCCCATTTTGGAGGAAAGCTCAGATTGGTGGAGAAGCTTCCGCGGAAGTTTTATTCGCGAGTTGGGTTTTTTAGATGGATTAAGGGGTCAGCCTCTTGTTTATGCCGGATTTATATTGTCAGAAGAGGTGAGCTCTGGACTCGATCAGGGCTGGTTTGAATTTTTTGGGCCGGGGGGTTTATCTCGATGTTTTAAGAAAGCGCTAAACTGCAATATGTTTATGTGCAGTCATTGGTTTGCTTGTTTTTTCGTAGTATATATTTTAGAGGTGTGTTTATGGGTCGGCCTTTCTTAGTTGGTTCAGATATATGGAAAGTTTGATAGCAGGGTTAATGCCTGGCGGGTCCGTCAGATGTTAGATTGGGGTCAGATCTTAGGTTGGGGGAGGAAGATTAATGAGTGGGGCCGGCTTTCTAGCGAAGGTTGTAGGTTGGAGAGAAGCCAGATAAGATTGCCGGAGCCAGTTACTTTGCAGGGTTACAATTTAGAGATGGTATATGAGAGGTGCCTAATCATTGCTTTCTTTGTAAGGTTTACTGTTATTTTTTTCCTGCGGATAGCTTCTTTCAACAAGATTACATGTAGGGTTTATTTAGACTGTGGGCGGTTGGAGGTTTTCTGGTCTTTGGTGCCTTTTATTTTTTTAGTTTGCTTGTGCACTGTTTCCGTTTTTGCTCTGTATGTTAATGATGAGACAAATCTTGACCCCTTTATTGATGTAATCGTGGTGGGCCATCAGTGGTATTGAAGGTATGAGTTAACAAGTAGAAAGGCTGAAACTATTAAATGGGACTCACGAATAGTGAGGCGTAGTGCAGGGAGACCTCTTAGGTTCCGTGACTACTCCGAGGTTGACCGCCCGTTGGTAGTTCCACAGGGAAAGCCCATTCGGGTGTTTGTTACGAGGGATGACGTTCTTCACAGCTGGGGGTCTCCCCTTCTTTTGATGAAGATTGACGCTATTCCGGGTCGGCTAAGTCGGGGAAGTTTAGACTTTAATGTTTGCGGGGTGTTTTCTGGGTTCTGTGTTGAGTTATGCGGCGCATATCATGCTATAATGCCTACTATGATTGAAGTAGTTAGGCCAGAGGACTATAGGGAGTGGCGTGATTGGAGAGAAGGGGGTTGTGATCTAGGTGCTCGGCTGAAAGCGTTTGTTGAGTTAATTAACATTGCGGTTGAGGGGGAGTGTTTAAATCACAGATTAAGGCATAAAGATATAGTTAATGTGATTAAAGGGGATGTAACCCCTCTATTACGCTTACCCTCGATTCAAAAGAGGCTGAAATCTATGGGATTTGTTCACGTTGATGTAATGGAGAAGGTAATGGGGTCTACGATAAGATCTAAAAAGTTTGAGGAGCTTGTTTTAGAAATGGAGAAGGAGCAAGCTGGGCATGATTTGGGAGAACGGCTTTTAAGGCGTCGAGGTAGGTAGCTATAGTCGGCTGCCTTGGTTTAGACCAGGTAGTGCTTTTAAGGGGTTTTTAAGTTAAGAATATTAAGAAAATAAATGAAGAGCTCGCACCCGTATATATTTTATTATTAGGGGGTTGGGTTGAAAGGCCGGGTTTTCAATGGCCTGGTCTTGCTGCAGGGTTTAGTTCGCGTCAAGAATTCAAGTGCAGGCTTGTCGTTCAGGCTCACAAAGGAGATTGGGTTGGATCTAAGTGCAAGGTTGAAGCTTAAGTCTGGGTGTTAGGAGGTTGGGTCAGATCTTCCTACAGGCCCTCTCCAGAGGGCCGCCTCTGCCCGTCGAGCCCCCCAAAAAAAGGGTTCCTCATACTTTTTTTTTTGTTTTTTTTTGAAAAGTAGGGGGGTCAAAACTTGTAGGGTAGAAAAGTTTAGGTAAACAGACGAGAAAGACGATTTTAGGGGTAAAAAAAAGCGACCGCAAAGGGAGTACCCTTTGCGTTTGGGTCGCTTTTTTGCAATATTTAGGTTACGAATATTAGGTATGTTTTTAGAGAGGTAAATAGGGTATGAGGAAATTTTCGGGCGATAGGGATTTGGAAGGGCCGCTAGGTTTAATACGTGTATTGTAAGTTAAAGTGGATAATTTTGTAAAAAGTAAAAAGTAAGCTATATTTATAGTTAGGTTTTGGGTGTGTTTTGACCATATATTTAGCTTAATATATAAGGGGTGAGAAGTCCTAAAAGTAGTAGATTTGGGGCGGCTGGGTTTCAGCCTTGCAGGGGGTAAAGTTAAGGTATTAAGGTTAAAATAACGAAAAGAGGATTTAAATCGGTACCAAAGGGCCTAAATTTGAAACTGTAAAAGAGAAGGACCAAACCCGAGAGGGTTTGTTCCTTATCAACAGGGGGAGAGCCGCCTGGCCCTCTCCCCCTTAGAATTCCCCCCTCCCCCAAGGAGAAATCGGCCCCCTGGGCCCTCCCTCTTTCCGGCAGGGAAGGGAGCTCCGATCGTCCGTGCCTCGGGGAAGAGGTGGAGAAGGGGTCCCCGGGGCACAGTGAGGAGTCCCGTCTCGGTCCCGCCCCGGAGAGAGGGAGGTAGGGGGCGAGAGAGAGAGGGAGGTAGGGGGCGAGAGGTAGAGGGGGGTTAGGGGGGTGGGGGTAAAGTAAGGGTGGAGGGGGTCCGGTGGGAGAGAGGAAAAAAAAAAGAAAAAAGGAGGTCCGGGGGTCCTAGGGGGAGGAGGAATCCTCCTGGTCCCCCTAGGGCAGGGGTGGGGGGGGTGACAGGGGGGGGTAGGGGATGGAATCCCCTACCCCCCCCTACAGGGCTGGCCTGCGTAAGGTTTCCTCCTTTGTGCTCCGGCCCTCTGGAGAGGGCCGCCTCTGCCCGTCGAGCCCCCCAAAAAAAGGGTTCCTCATACTTTTTTTTTTGTTTTTTTTTGAAAAGTAGGGGGGTCAAAACTTGTAGGGTAGAAAAGTTTAGGTAAACAGACGAGAAAGACGATTTTAGGGGTAAAAAAAAGCGACCGCAAAGGGAGTACCCTTTGCGTTTGGGTCGCTTTTTTGCAATATTTAGGTTACGAATATTAGGTATGTTTTTAGAGAGGTAAATAGGGTATGAGGAAATTTTCGGGCGATAGGGATTTGGAAGGGCCGCTAGGTTTAATACGTGTATTGTAAGTTAAAGTGGATAATTTTGTAAAAAGTAAAAAGTAAGCTATATTTATAGTTAGGTTTTGGGTGTGTTTTGACCATATATTTAGCTTAATATATAAGGGGTGAGAAGTCCTAAAAGTAGTAGATTTGGGGCGGCTGGGTTTCAGCCTTGCAGGGGGTAAAGTTAAGGTATTAAGGTTAAAATAACGAAAAGAGGATTTAAATCGGTACCAAAGGGCCTAAATTTGAAACTGTAAAAGAGAAGGACCAAACCCGAGAGGGTTTGTTCCTTATCAACAGGGGGAGAGCCGCCTGGCCCTCTCCCCCTTAGAATTCCCCCCTCCCCCAAGGAGAAATCGGCCCCCTGGGCCCTCCCTCTTTCCGGCAGGGAAGGGAGCTCCGATCGTCCGTGCCTCGGGGAAGAGGTGGAGAAGGGGTCCCCGGGGCACAGTGAGGAGTCCCGTCTCGGTCCCGCCCCGGAGAGAGGGAGGTAGGGGGCGAGAGGTAGGGGGGGAGGGGGGTTAGGGGGGTGGGGGTAAAGTAAGGGTGGAGGGGGTCCGGTGGGAGAGAGGAAAAAAAAAAGAAAAAAGGAGGTCCGGGGGTCCTAGGGGGAGGAGGAATCCTCCTGGTCCCCCTAGGGCAGGGGTGGGGGGGGTGACAGGGGGGGGGTAGGGGATGGAATCCCCTACCCCCCCCTACAGGGCTGGCCTGCGTAAGGTTTCCTCCTTTGTGCTCCGGCCCTCTGGAGAGGGCCGCCTCTGCCCGTCGAGCCCCCAAAAAAAGGGTTCCTCATACTTTTTTTTTTGTTTTTTTTTGAAAAGTAGGGGGGTCAAAACTTGTAGGGTAGAAAAGTTTAGGTAAACAGACGAGAAAGACGATTTTAGGGGTAAAAAAAAGCGACCGCAAAGGGAGTACCCTTTGCGTTTGGGTCGCTTTTTTGCAATATTTAGGTTACGAATATTAGGTATGTTTTTAGAGAGGTAAATAGGGTATGAGGAAATTTTCGGGCGATAGGGATTTGGAAGGGCCGCTAGGTTTAATACGTGTATTGTAAGTTAAAGTGGATAATTTTGTAAAAAGTAAAAAGTAAGCTATATTTATAGTTAGGTTTTGGGTGTGTTTTGACCATATATTTAGCTTAATATATAAGGGGTGAGAAGTCCTAAAAGTAGTAGATTTGGGGCGGCTGGGTTTCAGCCTTGCAGGGGGTAAAGTTAAGGTATTAAGGTTAAAATAACGAAAAGAGGATTTAAATCGGTACCAAAGGGCCTAAATTTGAAACTGTAAAAGAGAAGGACCAAACCCGAGAGGGTTTGTTCCTTATCAACAGGGGGAGAGCCGCCTGGCCCTCTCCCCCTTAGAATTCCCCCCTCCCCCAAGGAGAAATCGGCCCCCTGGGCCCTCCCTCTTTCCGGCAGGGAAGGGAGCTCCGATCGTCCGTGCCTCGGGGAAGAGGTGGAGAAGGGGTCCCCGGGGCACAGTGAGGAGTCCCGTCTCGGTCCCGCCCCGGAGAGAGGGAGGTAGGGGGCGAGAGGTAGGGGGGGAGGGGGGTTAGGGGGGTGGGGGTAAAGTAAGGGTGGAGGGGGTCCGGTGGGAGAGAGGAAAAAAAAAAAAAAAGAAAAAAGGAGGTCCGGGGGTCCTAGGGGGAGGAGGAATCCTCCTGGTCCCCCTAGGGCAGGGGTGGGGGGGGTGACAGGGGGGGGTAGGGGATGGAATCCCCTACCCCCCCCTACAGGGCTGGCCTGCGTAAGGTTTCCTCCTTTGTGCTCCGGCCCTCTGGAGAGGGCCGCCTCTGCCCGCCGAGCCCCCCAAAAAAAGGGTTCCTCATACTTTTTTTTTTGTTTTTTTTTGAAAAGTAGGGGGGTCAAAACTTGTAGGGTAGAAAAGTTTAGGTAAACAGACGAGAAAGACGATTTTAGGGGTAAAAAAAAGCGACCGCAAAGGGAGTACCCTTTGCGTTTGGGTCGCTTTTTTGCAATATTTAGGTTACGAATATTAGGTATGTTTTTAGAGAGGTAAATAGGGTATGAGGAAATTTTCGGGCGATAGGGATTTGGAAGGGCCGCTAGGTTTAATACGTGTATTGTAAGTTAAAGTGGATAATTTTGTAAAAAGTAAAAAGTAAGCTATATTTATAGTTAGGTTTTGGGTGTGTTTTGACCATATATTTAGCTTAATATATAAGGGGTGAGAAGTCCTAAAAGTAGTAGATTTGGGGCGGCTGGGTTTCAGCCTTGCAGGGGGTAAAGTTAAGGTATTAAGGTTAAAATAACGAAAAGAGGATTTAAATCGGTACCAAAGGGCCTAAATTTGAAACTGTAAAAGAGAAGGACCAAACCCGAGAGGGTTTGTTCCTTATCAACAGGGGGAGAGCCGCCTGGCCCTCTCCCCCTTAGAATTCCCCCCTCCCCCAAGGAGAAATCGGCCCCCTGGGCCCTCCCTCTTTCCGGCAGGGAAGGGAGCTCCGATCGTCCGTGCCTCGGGGAAGAGGTGGAGAAGGGGTCCCCGGGGCACAGTGAGGAGTCCCGTCTCGGTCCCGCCCCGGAGAGAGGGAGGTAGGGGGCGAGAGGTAGGGGGGGAGGGGGGTTAGGGGGGTGGGGGTAAAGTAAGGGTGGAGGGGGTCCGGTGGGAGAGAGGAAAAAAAAAAGAAAAAAAAAAGGAGGTCCGGGGGTCCTAGGGGGAGGAGGAATCCTCCTGGTCCCCCTAGGGCAGGGGTGGGGGGGGTGACAGGGGGGGGTAGGGGATGGAATCCCCTACCCCCCCCTACAGGGCTGGCCTGCGTAAGGTTTCCTCCTTTGTGCTCCGGCCCTCTGGAGAGGGCCGCCTCTGCCCGCCGAGCCCCCCAAAAAAAGGGTTCCTCATACTTTTTTTTTTGTTTTTTTTTGAAAAGTAGGGGGGTCAAAACTTGTAGGGTAGAAAAGTTTAGGTAAACAGACGAGAAAGACGATTTTAGGGGTAAAAAAAAGCGACCGCAAAGGGAGTACCCTTTTCGTTTGGGTCGCTTTTTTGCAATATTTAGGTTACGAATATTAGGTATGTTTTTAGAGAGGTAAATAGGGTATGAGGAAATTTTCGGGCGATAGGGATTTGGAAGGGCCGCTAGGTTTAATACGTGTATTGTAAGTTAAAGTGGATAATTTTGTAAAAAGTAAAAAGTAAGCTATATTTATAGTTAGGTTTTGGGTGTGTTTTGACCATATATTTAGCTTAATATATAAGGGGTGAGAAGTCCTAAAAGTAGTAGATTTGGGGCGGCTGGGTTTCAGCCTTGCAGGGGGTAAAGTTAAGGTATTAAGGTTAAAATAACGAAAAGAGGATTTAAATCGGTACCAAAGGGCCTAAATTTGAAACTGTAAAAGAGAAGGACCAAACCCGAGAGGGTTTGTTCCTTATCAACAGGGGGAGAGCCGCCT